TAAATATGCCAATACATTCATTGATAACAGATAGTATTTAATATTTGAAAAATTCAAACATAAAACAGAAACTACAGAATTTTATCAATAGAAAGAAAATATTTTCTAAAATGCAGTATTTATCTCACTGTTGGTGGATTTTGGAACTGATACAACCATTCCGGAGAGCAATTTGGAACTATGCCCAAAGGGCAAATAGCGCCTACCCTTTGATCCAGCAATACCACTACTAGGTCTATATCCCAAAGAGATCATAAAAAGGGAAAAGGGCCCAAATGTACAAAAATATTTATAGAAGCTCGTTTTTTAGTGGCAAAGAATTAGAAATTGAGGGAATATCCATGAATTGGGGAATGGCTGAAAGGGGAATGTAATGGAATACTATTGTGCCATAACAAATGAGAAGCAGACAGATTTCAGAAAAACCTGGAAATATTTGTGTGAACTGATGCAAAATGGAGCAGAACCCAGGAGAAGATCGTGCACAGTAACAGCAACATTGTACACTGATCAGCTATAACTGACTTAGGTTTTCTCAGTATTACAATCATCCAGGACAGTTCCAAAAGACTCATGGTGGGGGGCAGCTAGGTCTAGATCACCAGCCCTGAAGTCAGGAGGACCTGAGTTCAAATCCGGCCTCAGACCAAACACTTGACCCTTATTAGCTGTGTGACCCTGGACAAGTCACTTAACCCCAATTGCCTAAAAATAAATAAATAAATGAATGAAAATGAATGAATGAATGAATGAATGAATGAATAAATAAATGAAAAGTAAAAAAACAAAAGACTCATGGTGGAAAATAGTGTCCCATATCCAATAAAGAGCTGATAGAGTCTGAATGCAGATCAAAGCATACAATTTCACTGAAATGACTTAAATAACAATAGTAATATAACAGGTTCCCACCCGCCCAAAAAAAATTGCATAATTACTTGTAGGCAAAGAGGAGGCCACATAATTATTTGCAGATGATATAGTTATATTTTGAGACAATCAAAAACTTCTGTAAAGTATATGGATACAAAATAAATTAACAAAAACAATTTGTCTTTCTCCACGTCATTAACAACCTAATAAGAAGTAAAAATTTACTAAATATAACAAAATTGCATCATATGTCTAGAAATTGAACTATAAGAACACAACCAATAGTTTGATCAAAGCTCTGTATTTTTAAGAAATAACTGAAAAATTTAAAAGATTGTTCAGTTTTCATGGTTGTATTGTGCTAACATCTCAGAAATGGTTTAACTAACATGATCTTGAATAATAACAGATTTAATTTCATATCAATCAAATTTCTAAAAGGATATTTTAAAGATGAGTAAATTAAAAATCATTTGTGAGAATAAATTATCAATAATATAACAAAGAAAGATTTAATGAACAAAGAAAAAAATAGAAAGAGTGAGAGCTTTGTTCCATGAGATCTCAAATCATACTACAAAAAAGTGAAAATCAAAAGCATATGGTACTAAATAAACTTATCAGTGGAATACAAGATAAATAGGATTCTGAAATAAATACTAATGCCAGTCTTGTTTTTAATAAGTGCAAAAACACATGGTGCTGACAAATGAATGTTCTATTTAACAAAAAGCTGACAGGAAATTTAAAATGTCAAAATGTGAATAAATAAACAATAATGAAGGAAGTTTGTATTATAACCCCCCAAAAAAAATCCAATGCAAATAAATTAGTTAAATATTAAAAATTACACCTGGAAAAATTATACGATACTGGAAAGTTTTATCTTTCACAGTTATGACTAAGGGGTCCATAGTAACTTCCTATTTTCTAGCTGAAATCTACCATGAATGCTGTCTTCCCTTAGAGTTAGAATGACAGCTCCTTGAAACAGAAACTTCTGGGCTTTTCTCTTCATATCCCCAGAGTTTGGCATATAACAAGAACTTGATAAGTTATTTTCCTTCCTCCTTCCCTCCGTTCCTTCCTTCCTTCCTTCTTTTCTTCCTTCCTTCCTTCCTTCCTTCCTTCCTTCCTTCCTTCCTTCCTTTCTTCCTTCCTTCCTTCCTTCCTTCCTTCCTTCTTTCCTTTCTTTCTTCCTTCCTTTCTTCCTCTTTACCCTTTTATGCTACAGTCAGCTTTCTAAGACTAGATGTAACAGCAAACTGCACCCACTGGAGGGAGTTTCTACATCAGGAGTTTTGCACATTGATGAAATCACAAACATAGAGCAACACACACACACACAGGTATGCACACATGTACACCTACATACAGTTACACACACAAGTCACTAATTTTTTTTTCACAATATGAGCCTGGGATGCCAATAAGAATAGAATATGCACATATATACATAAGTATATGTGTGTGTGTTAGTATATATAAATGTATGTATATGTGTGTCTGTATATACACATGTTTATATCTATATATTATACATGTATATATACACACACATATATATACAGAAAATTCAGTTCTTTCAGTTGTGTCTAATTCTTGGTGAACCCATTTGTGTTTTGTTTGTTGGTTGGTTTGTTTTTGTGCAAAGCTGCAGGGGTACTTTGCCACTACCTTCTCCGGCTCATTTTACAGATCAGGAAATGGAGGTAAACAGGGTTAAGTGATTTGCCCAGTGTTACACAGCTAGTAAGTGTCTGAGGCTAGATTTGAACTCAGACCTTCCTGACTCTGTCCCTGGCACTCTGTGCCACCTAGCTGCATATATAGACACATACATACATAAACACATAGTATATGTGTACACACACACACACACACACACACACACACACACACACATTCTTTGTTAAATATGACGAAATGGTTGTAGTATATACTTTTGATCACCTGATTAACAGGACTGGGATAAAACAAGTCAATGGTAAAATTTCCATGTTGGACATAATTTTCTTTCATTGTAATAATTCAGTCTTTTTGGACATAGCCATTCTTCTTCAAGGAGTATGATAACATGTACATAATATCATTATCACTTTGGCCTTGGTAATTAGTGTCTCATGCATTGGGATAAAATAAGTTACTTTTTTCCATATGAGCATGGATGGGGCTTTAGTTGTCTTAGATACTTTGATACTAGCTTATTGAACTGTTTTGAGGCTGGGCCACTTATTGAATGAATTTCCCAATATTATATTACATCTCACACATGCACACTCCTATAAAAGTGGTACTCCATGTCTAGAATGTATTCCTTCCCCACTTCCACCATAAAGAACATTTTATTTCAAAAACAACAACAAAAACCTAAACAAACAAATAAAACAACAACAAATTTAAAAAAAAAACCTTCTCAGGGACTGCCCTAACCACAGAGCCTTTCTTGATGCCACCATTTACACTCCATCTCCTTTGAAATTACTTGTGAAAACTCTACATTTACTTATCTATTTATAAATTATATTGCACCAGAGAAATAGTAGTTCCATGAGGTTGGCCTTTTTTGCTATTATCTTTGCATCCTCATGATCAGCAAATAGTTTCTTACACAAGGTAGGCATTTAATAAATGATTTCTCTTTAAAACTGTATTGAACTCCATTTTGTCTTTAATATGAACATAGGTCAAGCAGTGGTTTAATTTTAATGTTATTTTATTCCCAAGTTATTAATAAGTCATTGGGGAATTTCTAACTCTCTAGGTGGTGTATATATGGGTAAGTAGGGGTTATGATTATCTAACTTTGGTTCTATGTGCTATCTAGCTTTCCTTCTCACATACAATGGCATTATTTGACCCATGATACGCTTGATTCTTTATTGAATAACGTCTTTGTTACTAGCACTTTGATAGATCCTGTTCTCTCTGTGATGCTCTCTGTGTGTCTCACAGTATTGGTAAACAACATATTAAATTACTTCACAGTATTCCTTTGCCACGTGAGAATTTCAGCAATGTTTAAAGAGAAGCGTTTTGCATGTTACATTTTATAACGCCTCCTTAGTTGAGATACTCTGGCTTGAACTTCCAAACTGCTTTTGAAGAGTGAGAGTACAATGGCTGTCAAGTTATATTTTTATGTTTCACCTTTCTTTCCTTTTTGACTCTTTACTCTCATGATGAGGGAGTTCATAAGCAACTGATCAAAAATGAGAGGAAAGAATGAAGAAATAGCAAAGAACCCAAAATAAACCTAAATAGAATTTGGGATACAGATCTGTATTTTCTTTTTAGTTTAGAAAAATATTTTACTTTTAGTAGTTCTTTGTACTTTTCAACGCACTGCTGTATGTATCACCTCATTTGATCCTCATGAAAATGCTGTTACATTGATAGAGCAAGAGGTAACCCATATTTTTACAGACACAGAAATAGATTGAGTAACTTACCTAGGAACACATAGCCAATGGTATGAACTAGCTTGGAAACATGGCAGTTGCAATACTAGACTAGCTTCAGGAAGACTTGAATTCAATTTCTGCCTCCGATAATTACTTACCATGTTGTTGGATCCGTTACTTAAATTATGTCAACCTCTGTCTCCTCTTTATTGAAAATGGAGAAAGTAATTACACCCTCCTCTCGGGATTATTGTGAAGATCAAATAAAATGATGTGTAAAGTGCTTTGCCAACCTTATTGTTATATATAAATTCTAGGTATCATCATTATCACCAACAGCATCATCATCTTCATTGACTTTCACTTAGAGCTTTTTGAACTATGCCAGACTCTCACATAGGAAAGAACACTGTTGAGGCCTGGGGTATTATTGCCTACAACAAATCTTTACGTCAACCATAAATGGTCTTTTAATTGAGTACAGTTATAATCTCCCATTAAATACAAAATGAGCATTTTCACTTTAAGTAGAGGTGTGTAATGGGTATATTAATAATCTCTTCAGTTAATAAAAATTTCAATCCCTTTTACTTTCTCAGTATTTTATTGATAACTGTAGAGATAATTGCTTAATTATGTATTGAAATTGTGAATGGTAAGTTGGGAAAATGTGGGCACAAATTTGAAATATGTCTATATAATTAATATTCTATTCATTTACAGATTAATTTTTTAAAGACTGAGATGGAAAGAAAGAGCAAAATGATCCGAGATCTCCAAAATGAGGTAAGAATAACTTTAAGGAAAATGATATATTAAAACCAAAGAAAACGTTATGTCCAACAGCATTATGACCAGGCCATGGATACCATGCCATTTTGCCTTCTATTCATCTTCTGGTATAGAATAACAAATGTATCATGGACGATTTCCTTCTTGATAGCTGAGAAATGGAATATAAATTCAGTCTTCAGCCACATTGTTTATAGTATTTCCTGTTAAAGACTGTCTACTTTGTGCCATCCTTTTCCATGTCCTTCTTTTTGAGTAGCCATCTTTATTTTCCACTAGGGTCACACTCTGATCCTTTGCTTCTATTTTTCATCTCTTTTTATTGACTTTGGTTTATGACAACCAAAGTAGGAGGCAAGTCCTCTGTCTAATTTAGAAGGAGTATAGGGGATCCACAAAGGCATTGCAGCTACCTCTTAATGAATGAATATGCTATTTACCTAGATTAGACAGAAGATGTACCTTAAGCACTTATTCTCTCTGCCGCTTAGAATAAATGGATGAATGAGCCATTGACTAGATTAGCATTCCTTTTACCTATAAATTCAAAATGCAATGTGTACTAGCCAATGTATACCATATTAAATCATTCCCCTAATCTGAATCAAGGGAAAAAAAAGTCACATCACAAATTTTCTTATATTTAGCACCATTTACTTGGTTTGAGAAAGGAAAATGGGAGAGAGAGAGAGAGAGAGAGAGAGAGAGAGAGAGAGAGAGAGAGAGAGAGAGAGAGAGAGAGAGAGAGAATACATTAATCACTTTGTTGTTGTTCAAGGCATAAATGCATGTGAGGCATAGAGAAAGGGAGAGGGAATTTAAAACACAATTTGGCAGGAAGAACTTTTTTGTGTTTTGTCTTAATGATTTTCTCTTTAATCCATTTAAAGAATTGGGCTGAACTTGAACATTTAGATTTGTTACTGAAATGCTTCTGGTTATAATTGTTATTTTGGAAAACTTTAACAGGAATGTGTTTGAGGGTGAATGATCTTTTTGTTTCTCTGATAAAGCAATGGTTGGCTATTTTTAGGGTCATATGGAGTACAGAGCTAATCATATTCTGCACCCTTTAGCCCATCATTTTTTATACAAATGAAATCATGCCACTTTGGGTATCATTTGACAACTTTAATGTAGAAGAGAAGTTACAAAAGTGCTACCAACGAGGGAGAAGGTGGGCCAGGCTGATTGCTTATATGAGTCCTGTCATTCTGTGTCTAAGGATATGGGCTGTTGACTGATGTGGATGTGCAGGGAATTCACTTATCAACTTAGATTTAAGAAAGAAATATATAGAAGATGAAAGCAAAGACAGTTGACAGATGATGAATGCTTAAGCTTGACACACCTTGTTAAGAGTAGGTTGAGTAATGCCAAAGTTCACCTGAGAGAGGTTTTGAAAGTGAACAACAAAAAAGGATGTCTTTGCTATTGGGAGGAGAAGGGGATGAGAATCAAAAAAGAGCTAAAACAAAAAGGAGCTGCACAGAAGAAAATGAGACGGTGGTAACTGTTGACAGAGAAGACAAAGCTGCATGATTTCTTTTCTTTTTTTTTTTTTTTTTGTATTTTGTTTCTGACAAAGAGAGTAATCTCTTGACCTGTTGGAGACAGAACCAATATGACAAATATGACATTGGTACCTAAGTAGGAGGACACTTAACTGACCTAGATGAGTACAAATGCCATAGCTCAAATGAACTACATCCTCACAGGGATGAAGCAAGCATATTATAAGCGCTCATTACGTTTTGAGCACTGTGCTGAGCACTTTACAGAAAGCTGTTATGTGACTTGCCAAGGATGACATAAGTAGTAAATGCCAGAGGCTGAATTTGAACTTAGGTCTTTCCTGACTCCAGGTCCAGTGTTCTAGTTACTGCACTGCATGGATGAACTAACACGCATGATTGCTAAGTCGAATTTGGCTCAGTGATCGGTCTTTAAAATATGAAGAGTGAAAGAAGGGTAGAAGAATACAAGAAAATACGGAGAAATTGAAGAAGGGCAAATGTCTTGATTTAAAAAAAAAGGAAAGAGACTAGTCTGCAAACCATAGTTTGTTGTTAATTGTAGCCAAGGGATTTTGACTGATTCCTGGGAAAATTCTACAGTTTTTTATTTAAAGTCATGGTGGGTGAACATAAAGAAAAAGAAATCGTTTTCACCAAGGTCAATATCTTGATGGCCCCCTGGAAAGAAAATCTATTAGCAGGCCTGAAGCATCTCTACAATTTAACTTTTTTATCAGTGTACTTAACTAAAGGCAAAAAGACTTTCACATAAGATTTGGGCACTGAGCTGAGCGCTTTACAGATATCATCTCATTTGATTCTCTCAAAAACTCCATGAGGTAGATTTGTAGATGACACAAAGTAGATGATAGAGGGAGGATTCAAGAACACATTGATAGGTCACAGAATTAGGACAAACTGAACAAGATGGAATTGAATGAGAATAATTTACAATCTTGAATTTGCCTTAAAAGTTCAAGATGGAGAGGTATAGCTGGATAGGAGCTCATTGGAAAAAAAAAAACAAGAAACACCTAGGGGATTTCAAACCCTTTGTTGATCATTGTAGTAATATGACAAATAAGAACACTAATGCAGGAATTCTTTTTCATTGGGTTGGACTTTATGGTCTCTCTTTTCCTTTCTAGTTACAAGATTTTGTGGATTGGTGACTTTTCCAAAGATTTTCTTTCTTTTAGCCTAAGATATAGAGTTAGGGACAGGTAAGTCCCCAGATGACTCATACCATGTATCATTTTGAACAAGTCATTTTAGAAAAAATCTCAGATGGTTACTAAATTCTTGATCAGCTATTGCCTTTTATTCTTATTTTTGTGCTTTGTCGGTCCTTCTGGGCTATATTGCTGCAAAATAAATTAGCTCCAAAATGAACTCCCAAACAAAAAAGTGAAAAAAACTTGACCTTGGAACTCACAGTATTGAACTTATTTATGTTCATTGGTGCCAGATGGAAAGGCTGATTTAAAAGAAAATTGCAGGCAATTATATCTTTTTGTTTTGTTTTTCAACTTGGTTATGAGGCTGATTGGATACATAGATTGTTCATTATTCCTAATATTTTCTAAAGGTTGAATTTTCTCAAATGCCTCCCACTTTCAGAACATAAATATCTGATTTTTTCCACCAAAACAAAACCTGAAGGGCAAAGTAAAATTATAGCAGGGATTTAATATGTAATATATCCATTAAAGACTCCTCCTCCCCACATTTATAACTTGGGATTTATAGTTCCACTTTTTGAGGCAAAAATTGAGAATCGTTGCTATAGGATCACAGTATTTAGAACTGAAAATTGCCATAAATGTTATCCAGCTTAGCACTCATACTTTATAATTGAGGAAATTGGAACACAGAACAAAGGGATAGACTTCCCAGTCTTACTGGTGGTAAGTAGAAGAGTTCTGATTTAAACCCAGACCTCTCAAGGAGAAAGTAAATTTTATCTTTGAGAGAATATATTACATGTAACTGATGCTTAAGCATTCTTCAAGAAATTTCTCTTTCACTTCTTTCTATACTTTCTCCCTTGGATAGCTCATTCTTTCAGTGAGCTCAAATATCACTACTATGGTGGTGTTACCAAACCTGTCTCTCTAGGCAAGACATTAGTGCTGAATTCTGGAATAACATGTATAACCAGGTGTCTCCCTTTTGATACTCTGCTCACACTCCAAAATTCCTTGGTAGGTTAGCTCTTCTTCTTGACTTCCGTATGTTTGTCCATTTTATTATCAGTTATATCCTTTACATGGGATGAATACCCGAGGATATATTTTTACTTCTCTCTTAATCTTCATATCTAATCTGTCATCAGCTTTTAATGACTTGAGGTCCTTGAGTATATTAGACGCTTCATAATTTTGCTGAAGTAGGTTGGAACCCCTCCCACCCCATTTTATGGCACGTAGTAAATGCTTAGTAAGTATTCATTGTTGATTTTTCATTTAGATGCTGAAGAAGTAGAGGATTGGACCAAATGGTCATTAACATGGCCTAAGTATGTTGTAATATTTTTTTTTAGAAAAAGTATCCTTCTTGTCATATTTTCTTCATTTTTGCCTCTTTCAAATATTGAGTTCAGTAAAGATACATTTATTTAGCTGAAGCATATGGTTAATTATCTAGCCAAATAGCTGAGATGTAACAATGCTGTGTCCCTGGTTGAATATTTCTCCTTTAAAAGTTTGCACTTTTTAATAGACAAAAAGGAAAAAGAATAATTAGTAAAGAGGATTTGTTCAGATAAACATTATGATCACCTTCCATATTTCACATGAACAACCAGCTAATATTCCTTCCTTTGCTTTGCTTTTTGCCTTTCTCCCTTCTTCTCTCTCCTTCTTTCTCCCTCCTACCTTTCCTCTCACCTTTCCTTTCTGACTTCATTCTTTCCCTTCTACTCCTTCTCATAAATACTTGTTAAATGTAAATGAAGTGCTTAGAGAAAGGGAAGAACAAATATGGTTCCTGCTGTCTAGGAACTTGTAGTCTAGTTAGGAGGATAAATCATCAGAACATGAGGACTTGTATGATAAATCCTGTTGGAGACGTATGCAGAACAAGAGTAGATAGAAATTGATGAGAAATGTACCATCTCTTATGGATATAGAATGATTAACTGTTATAAGAAACTCCCAGGTGTGGAAATTCCCTCTATCAATGAAGCTTGACACTTTCTCTGCCTGGAGTCCAGTGGCAAACCATGCTCCAGTATGTTTGAGAAGAAAACCCCAGATAGGATTGTAAAGAGCCCAACATGACTGAAAAACAACTGAATAACACATTGAAAGTATCTATCAGAAGCGAGATTTGAACTCAGGTCTTCTTGGCTTCACAGCAGCCTCTGCACTATACTACCACTGCTGCTTTTCACATCACTAAATAATGCTCACCATTTTTGATAAGAATCTTCTATTTCAAAAGTGCTTTGACTAACAATCTGTTTTATACCATCCC